TGACGGTCTGGTGAGAGTGCTTTCTCTCATTCTGAATTGCAATTAAAACAAAAACAAAACTAAAAGCTCCCTTTGTCTAAAGGTAGAGTGAGGCAGTCACACGGGTGATAATCTGCTCTACTTAAAGTCAAGGAGTGAGACTGTTAATCTAATAAATTAAGAAAATCAATATTGAATAAATGAAAATAAATTGAAAAGGAAATCAATACAATTTATTTTGCGCTCTCTACTAAAGGAGATATTGTGAAAATATGTTGTATTGTGTTGAGGTAAAACAAAACTGTTGATTGTGGCTCATGAAGCTGCTGGAAGGCTGTAGTGAGTGTTGGCCTCTCTCTCTCCTGTGCGGATGGTCTGCTGCTGTGGGTTTGCTTGGTGCGCCTGGGCCTGGTGGGAGATGGCAGTGTCGAACTTACCGGTGCGCGTTGGCCACTGTGACAAATTTGTTTCAAAGAAACATATATAATGTGTGTATGTATGTATATATATGTGTATGTGTATGTATATGTGTATATGTATATGTGTATATGTATGTATATATATGTGTGTATGTGTATGTATGTATATGTGTATGTGTGTATATGTATATATATATATATATATATATATATATATATATTTGTGTATTTGTGTGTGTGTGTATGGTTACATATTTATACATGACAAGAACAACTATAATATGTGTGTATGAATATTGTATATGTATGGCTATGTCTGTATGTATGTGTGGGCGGGTAGGTGCAACCGTATAAAGTGAATATAGGTATAGGGGGTGGGAGCCTATAAGTTTGACTTCTTCCCACTCCTTTTTGAGCTTTAACAGGAGTGAAAATAAATTAAAAGTGAAAATAAATAAAAATAATAAAAATAAAAATGTATATATACATTAATGTATGTATGTATGTATGTAAATTTCTATCATGTATTGTATGTAATTGCTTTTAAATCTATAAATTGATTCCTGTTTATAAGCTTGAAATAAAATCAATCAATCAATCAATCAATCAATCTTTTCTTAATATGCAATAATATGGTTCTCTCCATCTAAATTGTATCTCAATATGGTCCATTGTCAGTGGATGTATGTGATTGCTGTCCATGTTTGATAAAAAGCCTCATAACTTCCTAACATTGTGTAAGATGAGATGACTGCAGCAATCTCTCAAAGCTCCAGTTCAAATTCAATTTAATTCAAATTCAAATAACTGTATTCATCCATGAGGAACTTCATTTACAGACGGTGAGGGTACACAAAAACACAAAATCTAAGTATAAATACAGTAAAAGAGCAGACATGGAATATAAAATACATAAAAGCAGGTTTCCAGATCAGCTGTATAAAAGGCGAATTGAGGTGGGGAGGAAGCAGGATGTTGCACTTTTTGTTTTAAATGGGAGGGACCTGAACCTACGCCCTGATGGGAGCAGACAGTAGTGAGAGTGCAGAGTGTGGGAGCCTTAATTTCCTTAAAACTTTGTTATTGTAAATGGCTGTGAGTGAGTTGCTGCTGTCCAATGATTTTGCTGCTGATTTTAATGATCTTATTGAGTGAATTCTGATGTATAAGCTTGAGTGAACCAAACCAAGATGTAATGTTGAAAGTGAGAATTGATTTGTGACTCTGAAGTTTACAAAGTTGGCGCTGTTGACATTTAGAGAAGATGAGTTCGGTATTGTCCTCAACATTGAGATTATGGTCAGATATTTGTATCAATTAATCTTTTCTATGGGGTCATTGTTGACAGTGTGTGGGGGAGTGTCCATGATGGAAGAAAATTACCATTTATTTTGTCTTTGAGACATTTAGGTCCAGGCAATTGTCCTTACACCACTGTGTGAAGGAGTCCAGTTCAGTCTGCAGAAGTCCTGGTGTGTTAGTGGTGTCCATGATGACTGTGTCTTCAGAGTATTTGATGTATGTTATTCCTGGGGTATTGCTTGTGCAGTCATTCATATACAGAGTGAAAAGAAGTGGGGAGATTACTGAACCTTGAAGTCAACCGGTGGATGTTGTCCTGAGAGAGCCGAGTAGACCATTCACCCTCACCCTCTGGTCGCTCGTCGTGAGGAAGGAAAGGACCCGGAACAGGAAAGCATCGTGGTTAGAACTAAAAAAAAACGGTCCCCACCCAGGACGCTCCTCCCTATCGCCACCACAGCGCCATTAAGCTGGTGAGGTCAAAATATAACCATTCTACTGTGACTAAAGTATGCTAAATTTATCAGCCTCCCAGTCGCGTTTAATAATGACAATGATTGCAACATGAAGGCCCTGAGTTGGATTCCACCCCCATATAGGGCATTTCACTTTCTCTTACCACTAATATTAACTCTATAATAATATTAATGCATTGGTTTCATCAAGCGCTTTTTTGAACACTCAAAGATGCTTCACATGTCATTATTCATTCACTCCAAACCTGGTGGTAATAAACTACTACTCTAGCCACAGCTGCACTGGGGCACACTGACAGAAGCGAGGCAACCACATGTGACATCGGCCCCTCCGATCAACACCAACGATTCATACACACCAGACTCATTCTAGACAAAGTGGGTGGAGTGTCCTGGCTAAGGACACCACAACATTTTGGCACTTACCAGCCACCCCACTGTGGCACCAGGTGTTCCCAGAGGTCTCCCCTCACAGAACCAACCGGCCCATGCCCTGCTTAGCTTCAGAGGCATGTCCGGTATGGCCACATAATATCTGTGTTAATAGCATAGATTGATAATATATATACTGTATATTATATCGGACGTAGTCACGCCTATCTCCGCAGTTCAAACTAATGTTCCACCACTTTTGGCTTCTATGAGCTTTTTTAAAATGGCTGCAGGGATAGGAAAATGTGAAAAAACACATTTGCGCATGCTTAAGCTGGCATGAGTACCATTCATTTAAAGAGTGCATTCTGAAGTCCACAGAGGCTAAACTAGGCTGGTTAAAAAATTTACTCCCCTCAGCATTGACACGCATCTGGAACGTAGCGAAGACTGAGAATTAAGTCAAGTCTCATAAAATTTGCAAATAAAATGAATATGAAGTCAGATTTAATTAGCAGAACATGTCCTGTGAGTCATTACTATGATAGATGACACCAGGCCTTTGCCCTCCCTCCTTGATCATCCGGCAGAGAGAGATATGAATGGATTGGTCTGGGGAAAGTGGGTCGCTTTAGATATGTTTTCAAGGCAACAGAGGTCGCCAGGAATCACTTCATCTATTTCAACTTTGGCTGAGCTCCAAGAATACTTCAGCGCTGTGTCAGGTTTTATGGACCAAATGTTTGCCTCTTTCAGTGCCTAAATAGGCCACTTTTTGTATATTTAAATTAACACTGGATAAATTCGGCTAAACCAATGTTTTTGAGCTTTTAAACATGTTAAATTTGTAAACATCCAGTAACTCCTCCCCTTCTGTCTATTGACCCCTTGCATGTGACGTCCCGGCCACGCCCACTCTCCATGAAAGACGGCAGAAGTCTAACTGCGAGCCTACGGACACCTGACCAAAACAACCTGTTTCAGTGCATTACAGCCAAAACTGTGACATTTTGCAGTGCGGTTGATTATACTAACAGGCAAGGACATAAGCTTTTTTATCTGATACCTGCTCGTCATGAAGACAGAAGACGACGATGGCCAGCGGCAATCAACCAAAAGGACTGGGACCCATCCAAGTACTCCCTAATATGCAGTGAACACTTTTTACAAGATAAAGCAATCACAAGTTTGTTTTTATTTTATTTCCATTAATTTGGAGGACACTGACACACGTCAAACGTGTCTCTTACTACTGTCCTGTATGTGCGCTGCAACATTGACATTTTTATCTTTTAAGTCAATTACGTGTTTCACTATTTTCCTCTCCGTCAGTACGTATCATGTTTGGCTGTAGACAGAAAAGCCACAGAAAAGTGGACTATTGCTAATGCTACCAGCAAAATGTACATATAAATCTGCTCCAGTGTGAGGGGATGCATTGTTAACGATAATGATAAAGATCATGTAGGGTGAATTTGGGCATAAATAGACATTTTATTTAATTGATAAAATTGACTGGGGGAGAAGGTACGGGTCAACATCCAGTTAGGCAATCCTTAACTTCTCCAAATACCACTCTTTGTGAGCCCTGACCTGATGTCCTACTTCCACCTATAACGTAATCGAACATGTGCTTGAAGAGGCCACTTCTCGATTTAGGAGAGGAAGCTCAGTTTTTAAGAGTTGTAGCCCATTTTGCTCTCGCAGCAATGCTAGTTTCCAATACTTCCACCGTAAGCTCATTCGCAATCACGTGACTGGATGACGTTGATGCATCTGGTCAATAAGCTCCTGTCTCAGACCTCCAACAGTATTGTTACGACCCTACAGTTGAGCTCGTAGGGGAAAAGGGAAGTAACATAAAACCAAGGATGTAATAATGGTAAAGTAGATGGCCTTTTTAATGAACTAGGCAAAAGGGGTAACAGAATGTACAAAACTCACGAGTTTAAACAAACACAGGGAAAACACAGTATAACTAAGTCAAAGTACAAAGACAGAGCCACACAGGCAATCTTACAATCACTATTGCTTTGGCACACACAGTAACACGTTCTCTCAGAACGGTGGCAGACAAGACACTAATTCAAGCCGCCCCGCACAGAAGGAGCCGGCTGGCTTTGAGGGCTGCTGCTGATTAGCGGCAGCGGCGGATTGGCCAGGCGTGGAAAGCGCGACCCAATCTCCGAACGGCAGGCAGAACTGGGAGGCAGCGTGCGTAGCCGGTGCACCATGCAGCGGGGCGGAGCCTGAGCAGAACAGCAGCACAACACAGGAGGGAGGGAAGCGGGTGTACGACGCGGCCCAGCGCCAGCGGCCGTAACACTCCCCCCCTTAAAATACAAGCCATTTCATCAAAGTAAAATCAGAGCAAATTTGTGAATTACTCACCCGAACACAGAATCACAGACTTTGCCTCTCTCGTGGCGAATCCCTCAAAGGAACACACAGATCAAGGCCGCGACCTGAAACTTGCAGAGCGAGAGCCAAAACGCTCTCCATGGTGCTGAAAGTGCTGCTCGCCTGACCGAAGCCTGGTGGCCCTAGCCTTGTGCTTCCGTACAGAAGTGGCGGGTGGAGTAAAGTGCGGCGGTACTCGTGGTTTCACTTGACTGGCGGGCAGACTACAACCGCACTGTTCTGGAGGACGGGTGTGCGCCACAGCACAACCCGTGGGCATCTGACGATCAGAGGCACACACAAGCGGGGACAGAACCGCATCCAACAGGGGAGGAAACACCATGCCCCCTGCCAAATCATTACATAAAATCATGTCTACATTTTCAATGGGCAGCGCAGGGACAACAGCTAACGGAAACTTTCCTGTAACGAGGTTTGACTGGACATGAACAGAGTGAACGGGCCGCGGGCGGAAGCCCATCTCAACTCCCCGTAACACACTCCTGTAATCACAGTAAGAGCGGTATGAAAACGGGAGAGCACTGGCCAAAATCAAGCTCTGGGAACCGCCAGTGTCTCGTAGGATACGGATGGGGCGTTGATCTGGTGCTTCGCCATTCAGTGATACTAGGCCCTGTGATATGAAAGGCTCAAAACAGGAGCCGTGGTTTTGGACAGTATTGGGTCCTGACTTATGACTTACAGATTGAATTAACCCAATGCTCTGAACGTTTGGAGCTGAACACTCTTCCTTTTGTCTGAGAGTAGGGCAGTCTGCGATTACGTGTCCGGGCTCGCGGCAGTAGAAGCAGACTCTGTCCCTTGTGGAGGTTCCAGGAGAGCGTGGACGATCAGGCTGCACAGACACACGCGTCTCATTAACAGAAGATGACGAAAAGTTCTTATGAGTCAACACAAACTCATCTGCTAATACAGAAGCCTCAGAAATAGTTTTAACCTTTTGCTCATTCAAATACACAACCACACGCGCAGGCAGGTTGTTCTTAAAGTCTTCTAACAACATTAATTCACGCAAAGAATCGCAATCTTGGGCCTTCACAGAGGCACACCATTTGTCAAACAGATTTCCTTTTTCCCGTGCGAACTCAACACACGTTTGACTCGGGGCTTTACTGAGATTTCTAAAAGACTGTCTGTAGGCCTCAGGCACTAATTCATACGCACGTAAGACTGCTCTCTTGACTGCATCATAATGCAGGCTCTCAGCAAGAGGCATCGCAGCGATTATCTCTTGTGCTTTACCGTACACTTTACACTGCACAAGGATAGGCCAAACTTCACGAGGCCAATTTAACGCCATCGTGATTCTCTCAAAAGCAGAAAAATACGAATCAACCTCACTCTCCCTAAATGTAGGCACAATTTGTATCATTTTACTCACGTCAAGAGAGTCATGAACAGCTGGGGAGAGGGCTGTGGCAGGTGCAGCGACGCCCGGGCGTTGAGTAGGACTGGGGAGGCGGCCTTCGGCCTCCAGCTCAAGGCGTCTGAGGCGCACAGCTTTGTCAACCTCGATCTCAAGCCTCCGTATATGCAGTTCGAGCTCGGCACTGCGGTCCCGATCCTTCTGCTCGGCCTCCATCTTGATGCGTGCCAGCCGCAAAGCGCGCCGAGCACCATCAACTGAGCCGGGAGAGGAAGGAGCTGGGGAGGGCGGCCCGTAGCGAGGAGGAGTGCGCGGTGGTTCAGGCCGCGCATCGCCCTCTACAAACTCACGCTCCGCTCCGGGAGGGCCATCCGCAGGCGTCTCCGTACGTCTCGGGGTAGTCGCATGCACGATGCTCTCATCAGACCTCTCAGTCTCTGGGATCAAACGCAAGCCCCTCTCCACCAAACCATTTCAGGAGCAGCACCTTGAGTTCGGCCTTGCTGCTCTGACGGGAATACAAAATCTCAAAATGATCGGCAACCTCAAATAGATCCTTCTTTTTACAGAGCTCAAGTGCTTCGGCCGAGGGATGAAGCAAGAATGCCTGTAAATTGAAAGCGGTTGCCATTCTCACAATGTCCAAATACAATACAGCTTACCCCCCCACTTACCTAATAAATTTTGATTCGGCCACCTAATGCCGGGAACGTGTTCGGATCCCGGACGAGCCCCCAAATATGTTACGACCCTACAGTTGAGCTCGTAGGGGAAGAGGGAAGTAACATAAAACCAAGGATGTAATAATGGTAAATTAGATGGCCTTTTTAATGAACTAGGCAAAAGGGGTATCAGAATGTACAAAACTCACGAGTTTAAACAAACACAGGGAAAACACAGTATAACTAAGTCAAAGTACAAAGACAGAGCCACACAGGCAATCTTACAATCACTATTGCTTTGGCACACACAGTAACACGTTCTCTCAGAACGGTGGCAGACAAGACACTAATTCAAGCCGCCCCGCACAGAAGGAGCCGGCTGGCTTTGAGGGCTGCTGCTGATTAGCGGCAGCGGCGGATTGGCCAGGCGTGGAAAGCGCGACCCAATCTCCGAACGGCAGGCAGAACTGGGAGGCAGCGTGCGTAGCCGGTGCACCATGCAGCGGGGCGGAGCCTGAGCAGAACAGCAGCACAACACAGGAGGGAGGGAAGCGGGTGTACGACGCGGCCCAGCGCCAGCGGCCGTAACAGTATGATGTCATTGTACCTCTACGACGTCATGCTTAGAGCAGTTTTAGCCTTTCAAAATGAAAGGATGACCCATAAGTTTGCAATTTCTCAGGTGAAATTACCTCTGATAATTCTCAATTGCCTGTGTTTGGAACAAAACAAAACACAATAAACCAATCCCTCTAATGGTAATACGAGGAGTTACAGGCAAAACGCTTTTTTATCCCACTGCATACTTGTTTCACCATATATTTTCTAATGAAGATTTTATTTCACATTCTAAACCATGACATGACAAAGTAAAACGGACTCATTATAATATAAAACAATATATTTATTCTTTAAAAGTTGCAACGTGTTTTCTCAGCTACAGTTCATTCAGATCATATTTGTCTTTTTGGGCTCAATTGAAAAAAAGAGAGAATGGTCACTTGCATACAGAGATAACACATCTGATCCCCGTTGAATCTGGGAAGAATATGCAGCAGCAGAAATATTTCACTGAGTCAGCGTGTTCGGCACCGCAGCTTCCGTCAGCTCCTCACTGTTGTCAGTGCGCTGTAAATGTGTGCAATGTTCCGTGACGAGTGCAACCCACTATTTTAGGACCAAAAAGGATAATACACACACACATTCACAAATACACACACACACAAACGCACACACACACAGAGACAGGATGCATGCATGAGGGTTACCCCAGGTCACCTTTAATGGGGTAATGGCAGTGAAGGCTGAAGAGGACTTTGCTGCCATCAGCTAAAAGAATTGACTGAATACTAACTCTACTTTTGATATATCATTGTTTTTACCATTTTTGTTCGAACACAAGATTAGACACTAACTAATGGCAGAAAGATGAAATAGTTTGTTGATTGGGCCCACATTTGAAAAGGACCAAAAAACAGAACATTTATGAAAAAAATGTGCACCAACACATTGATTTGAATAATTAAAGAATATAAAGAGTAAGAGAGTGTTGGGGACTGTTTCAGCCTGTCTGGCATTCTGGCTGGTTCATGAAAAGTCCATTATTGTTCAAATAAACTGTTCACCAATAAAATAATCAATTGTTTAACTATATCTTTAGAATGAAAACAGCTTTTGAGTAAATCATCTAAACAGTTCAACGTCCAACCGTGTAGTTTTCCCGTCCAGTACAGTCTACACAATTGTACATTATTTAAATTCAATTGATTTTTTTTTTTTGTGTAGCCTTAATTCCCATCACAGAGGTCTTTACAAAACACATTGGAGCCATTGGGTAGCGGAATGATCAATATCTGTGAATGTTCATCAGTATAGGTAATTGTCCTTCATTTAAAGTTGTATGCGTAAAAGCAAGTACAGAGCATTTTAGCAGTTTTTGGTTACCTCCCAACAAAGTGCCTTGACGTATCGATCCTTTTGCAGCGAGGCCCAGACAACATTAACCTTATTTCACCTGCGTATCTGGAGCCTCACCTGTGCTTGACCCGTCATTTAACAAGTCACTCCACTCTTTTCTCTGCTGTGTCTCTGCACACGGCTGAAGTGTTGTCATGAGTTACACACTACATTTAAATGTTAAATGCTAAGGTGGAGGTCACAAACCATTTCCCAGCACATTACAGCTAATGGCTCATATCTTAATAACCTTCACCGCCTGCTCCTTACCACCTGGGATCATATTGGGGCTTAAATAGAAATAGGGCCATTATGAGGGCCATTTTCCTGAGAAATCGATTTGTAAAAACTTTTTTGTTTTTTGGTGAAAAGAAGTGAAATGTGGGTAATGCCAGAACTGTTTAGAACTTTTGAAGCAATTTAAGTTTGAACTTAAGCTTGTCAGTCTATGCACAATGCGCCAAGTGGTGATTTTCAACTTGAATGTTTTGGTTATCTGAAGGCCGAAAGCTACTTTTGCCGTGGGAGGTGCTGATTAGAGTCCTTCATGGTATAAAATCACATGCATGTGCCTGAACAAGACCCTAGACCCCTGCCTCGTTTGTCATTCTCTTCAGTATGTAAGAAACTGTATAATGTGTCATCCTGAATTTGATCATGCATAACAACATTTTGATTGTTGAAGTTTAGCTTGTTTGCCACCATTGTTGGTAAATAAGAATCTGAATCATGATGTGTAATTTGGACATATAGTCTCGGTTGTTATAGGGGTTAGGCAGACTGCTTATTATTGTAATAATGTATAGATCTTTAAAAACACGTGACCTAAGAACTAGTGTTCATAGTGATTTATGAATTTACAAGTTTTACTTCTACCTACTCCTTTTCGAATTGTGTGTGTATGTATATACATCTTCTTGTTTCTATTGTATTGTACAATTAATAATAAACTCCCAATAGATGAATACAATAACTAATGACAGAAAGAAAGGTGTGCCACAGCTCAAAAAAGTTGGGGAACACTGCATTAAACAGTACAAATATGGTTCCACAATTTTAAACTGGGTTGACTGCATTCCCAGCAGCTGATGATAGAATGAAACAGAAAAGCTAAGTTTGAAGTTTGCTGTTATTATGCAGCCAATAGTTAAACTGACTGAAAAGTTGCTGTTATTCACCAGAGCATGTATTGAATCTTAACCTCTCTAGTCCCGCAGCAGTGTGTGGGCCTGGGCTTGTCTTCAGAAGGCTGCTGTCTGTGGGGGGGTGATAAGATCATTGTGTGGGTGTGATTTCCCAGCATGCCCTCTGTGACCAGTCGCCTCTAATGGATGTGAAGAGGTGAACACGAGGCTGACAGAGTTTGCCGAGTCTTGAAACTACAAGTTTTCTGCCTCTGCAGGATTCAATAATGCACTTGTCTTGTAACAGCACTCTATAGATCTCAGTCACTCAACAATTCACAGACAGAAAGTTCCATCTATGAAACATTTTTTGGATCAATACTTTACCAACTCACCATATGTTTATGTATGAAGGAGGACTGTCCGTCTTTAGTCGAATAATCGCCCAACGGTGTCTGACTTAGTCAACCAAAAATTGTATTAGTTGACTAATATTTGAATGAAATAAAACATATCCATGCATGCACACACAAACACACACACAAGAAGGTCCTGGATTCGATTCCAGTGTGTGTGTTTGTGTGACTGTGGAACTAGATGGAACGTGGTGTATTTGATGGATTTACTGCTCCTGCTGAAGACAGGAAGAGAATGTGATGTCAATGTACACTGTGCTGTTACACACTTTAATCCATATAAAAACCTAAATAAGTTTATTTTAGTTATGTCCAAACTATAGAATACAAAAAAATCTTCTTGCTGGAGCTGCAGAAGTTACTGACATTGACAAATGGGAACAATGCTTATAATTAACTATAAAACTGTTTGTATTATGACATTTTCATTGTAAATTTTCATTATTTTCAATGGGAATTCTGTCTTGCCATGCAAGATGGCCGCCAAAGTCGCCATGGTTACCGAACCCACCATGGTTACCATGGAATCCTTGGCGTTGCCATGACGTTATGATGTCAAAAAGCCCAGGCCTATAGTTTTTGGCTGTATCCGAATGTCCACACTATACCCTATTCACTCACTCACTATATAGTTCGGGACTATATAGCGACTGAGTGAGTGAGTCAGTGCACTCATTCTGTTGGCGATTCGGACAGCTGCACACTATTTTTAGCCGCGGCCCACATCACACCCCTGTCAGATGTCATTGGATCAATATAATTTTATATATAAATAAAAGTATATTAAAATATCAATATTTGTCTAATATACATGTATAAAATGTTTTTACAATTTATATTCATATTTATGAATTTTGGTTGACGTCTTTCATATTCCCGCCACCTGACCGGCTCCTCTAACACCGGTGAAATGGCACCTCCACTGAATTTTGCGGTGTTTTTCATAACTATTATACAAGTTATCATAATGCGAATTAAACACCGCCGAACAGAGAGATGGCGAAGACAGGCGATGAGGGCTCTTCGTTCATTAGCAAGGCGTCGTGTAAGTATTGTATTCGTCCTTTGTCTATATAGCATTAGCACCATCTACTGGGTAAATTATAGTACTTACTAATTCAAAATACTATTCTCAGTCAATGAGCAACACATTAGTCATATACATTTAGACATATTTCAACAAGAAAACACATTGTATAGACACACTCACTTAAAATGCAAGAACATTAAAATATTTTATTGGTTGAAAGAACACAAAACCATAGCAAGGGAAATGGATTAAGTACTCATTTTTTCTAAATGAAAAATGAGTACTTAATCATTAAACAATAATAGAATTTGCTTGGCCATGGGGCACAGGGCTTCTGTGATTTTTTTGTGTGTTATTAGGTGCGCGTGATGTAGTGAGGGTTTCTACTTCAGTTGTCTCAGGGCAGCTCCAGCTCCCTGCAACACACAATACATTTGGCAAAATCAATGCCAGGGCACAAAAGAACATGACTTCAGCTATATACTCTTCATTTTTATTTACATTTTTAAATCTCAAAATGAAAAATGAGTACTTATTCCTGTGTCTGCACTCATAACTAAAAGTGCAGATACAGAATTAAAAAATGAATCTAGAAGCATCATATTAAGTTTAAGAGAATTTTTGTTTTGTTTTAGGGTGTACTGCCGACTGAACCACCATGTACCCCTACTCAGCATGTACTTAAATGGCCAGTCTGACCTTCGCCCCGATTTTCGCCTCACTCGAACCACCATCACCCGTCTGGTTAGCCACCTGAGGAGTGCTCATCACCAGGGCTGGAGCCAGGACATGGAGGTTTTGGTCTTCCTCTTTTGGTTGGCCAGTGGCACCGCGTACCGTGTTGTCGCCAGGGCATTTGACATGCCCCAGTCCACAGTCCACGATGTGATCCACAGGGTGGCCAACCAGATCCTTCAAATGCGTGGCCAAATAATTCATTTCCCTTCCCTGGAGGAACTTCCCCAAGTTGTAGCTGGGTTTCAGTTGCTGGCTGGATCAGCTGCTCTCAATAATGTTGTGGGGAGCATCGACGGCTGCCACATCAGAATAAAGCCCCTTCAAGAAAATGCACAGTGTTATTTTAACAGGAAATTGTTTTATTCTATTCAAATGCAGGCTGTGTGTAATCACCGTGGCTTATTTATTGATTTGTTTGTTGGCTACCCCGGATCTGTGCACGATTCTCGAGTGCTTAAAAACAGCCCCCTCTACGTCCACCGGCTCTATCCCCCAAATGGACACGTCCTCCTTGGGGATGGTGGCTACCCTTGCCTCTGTCAGCCCATCACACTCCTCACTCCATACAGAGAGCCTGTTTGGAGCCCAGTGGAAGCCCGCTTCAACCGGCACCATGCACGGGCACGATCTGTAACAGAAAGAGCGTTTGGCATGATGAAGGCAAGATGGCGATCCATTTTTTTCAAGGCACTGGAAGTCCAACCCACCTTTGCAGTCGAGGTGACTGCCTGTTGCGCCATCCTGCACAACATCTGCATCAGCGATGGTGATCTCTGGGAGCCAGTGGAAGAGGAGCCAGGGCCTGATGATGAGCAGGACCAGCATCAGCAGCACCAGCCTGATCAGCAGTGTGGACAGGAGCTGCATGGACGGATGGCAGCAGCACTTTCCACCCCAAGGGACTATTAATTAAATGTTTGAATAATCTGTGTTTTGGCCTATTTAAATAAAAACAAAAACAATTGAATATGTAAATATCTAAAAAGAAATTGTTGAATGTATGTATAGTTTTCTTTACAAATGTCTAGTTGATTAAATTTTTTGTGTGTAAATAGTGTGCATCATTGTATGTCCATATGCATATAGTTCACACTACACTTATCAAAATACATTTTTATCTACTATTTACAACTTCTCTCCAACAAACTCAACAGTCTCTCCTTTCTCTCTTCCTCTCTTCTTCCCCTCTCCTCTTCTCGCTTCTCCCTTTCCTCTTCCTTCTTCTCCACCTTCTCCAAAAAACGAATTCAACTCTCCCTCCTCGGCCTCTTGGCTGCCACACTGCTTTCCTCTTCCTCTTTCCTCCCCCATGGATGAGGCAATCAGGCAGGGAGGCTGCACGGATGGCCTGCTGCCTATTGCCTCATCCATGAGGGAGTACCACTTCCAAGATATGGCGATGGGCTCCCCTCCTTCTGTCCCTGTCCCTGTCCGTGGCTGTCTGAGCTCCTTAAAACAGTGAGTTTTGTATAATAAATGCTTCACAAATTAGCTTCAAAGAAACAAACCTTGTAGGTCTTTTTCAGGTTCTCCCACTTCTTGGCCGCTCTGGCAGGGGTGATCATTTCCTTTATCACTGCCCTAAAGTAACGATACATAAAAACATTTGAATATGAGTAGACGTTTTTTGAATAAGTATTTATTCATAATGGTCATACTCCCATCCAGCCGCCGAAGCAAATTTTTCACCCGCAGTCAGATGAGTCTCTCCACATCAGTGTCTGTCCCTTTAAAAAACATTAAACACACAATAAATGCTACACGTATAACACAAGTGCTTTAATAACA